CAGCAGGAAGCAAGACCCCAAAGCCAGCCTCAGAGTTTTCTTTCTCCCTATATCTGTTAGTGCGCTTACGAGGTTTAGTGCGCCTTTGGTTTAAACGCTGCCACCGTTTTTTAGGCACCACTTGATTTACACCATTGGGTTCGTCATTCTCACTATTCATTTCAGAGTCCAAGTCTGGGCCCTTTCTATTTTCAAAAGAGGGGACTTTTTCAGGAACCTTATCAGAGTCAGACTGGATAACTTTGTTGTCAAAATGAACATCAGAAAAATGGGCACCGTCCTCACTTGTTAAAGGGCCTGTTAACTGAAGGGGTTCTTCTTTACCAGGGTCTTTTGCCCCACCTCTCGAGAAGCCACTCTCTGAACCCCCACCCGCTCTGTCTCCCTGCGGGGCAGCCTCTGGAGTCACAGCTGGAAGCCGGCTCAGTTTTCTCTTGCGCTCTGGCTTTAAGGCTTTCCGGTTCACTGTGTTCTTCACCATATCGCCTGAAAAACCATCTCGCAATCTGGATGGTGGCTTTGATCGCCCACAGTTGCGCCTAGTAACACAGTTTGAACGACTTTTGCCGGCAGTAGGGAGGTCTCTTCTGTCGGCCACTAAGCCAGGCAGAGAAGCAGACAAGTCCCCAGCCAGTGCAGAGTCACCCCCACTGGGGCTAGGACGAACTGGATCTGGAACGCCATCCCTGTTTTTTTCTGAATTGTGAGTGGAGCCTCCTGAAACCAAGACCTTAGAAGTCCCTACAGGACTACTGGTAGAACAGTCCCCAAGACCTGGACTCCGATAGGAGACCAAGTTTTGAGCAGTCATTAACCGTTGCTCCTTGGTCTTACTGTCATGCATATCTTTCAACATCATCAGCAATGTACTGAACTTGTAATCTGGTTCAATAGGTATATGATTCTGACTAGCGGCAGAAGAAAAAAGTAATGGTTTTGATGGCTTTGATGTTGCAGAGTCACTGACATCTTCACTTAAAGATCTGTAAGAGAGTTCTTTCAACTCTGACAGAACGTGTTTCACCACTGCTGTTTCTATGTCACTCGAATCCCTGGTTTTCTCATGCATGTTGCTCAGTAGTTTTAGCCCATCCACTTTCCCACTTTTGGAAATGCTGGCCAAAGGAGAGCCTTTGGTATCCGAAGAACAGCATTTCAAACTGCAGTCCTCATTTGTAACTGGAGGTTCTACTAGAACTGGATTTTCTTTATGTTTGTACGTTATTTTTCGGATCTTGGGCTGTTTGCTTTTCGAATGTAAAAGAGCTTGATTCGTAGCCCCACCCTTTAATAATGAGTTCTCACTGGAAATGCTTGATGGGGTGTTGAATTTTGAAGAGAGACCATCATTTCTAAAATCCGATTGGGGTTTGCGAAGAAGAGTGGACACTTTAAAATCAGAGAGATTAACCTGAGATGTCTCCGTTCCAGACTCTGCTGTCTTAGTACAATCTGTTAAGTGGTCTGTATGTGAGTTAGTAAGAAGGGACTTCTGCTTTGCTTTTACCTTAGTGTTTGCGGCAGGATACCTAGAATACTTTACCTTTTCGTTTTTCGGCACAGACAACATGTTCCCTGTTCTATCAAAAGCATCTGTAATTTCAAGGACACTGTTATCAGACTCTGAACTGTGATCTATAGGATCCAGATCACTGCTTCCGTCATCAGAAGTGGTACAGATACTGATGGAATCACTTCGTTTTTCTTCATCACCTGCTCCAATATAGCAGAGTTGCACTTTTGAACTGCATACCAGACTTCGCTGGAGTTTCTTTTTCTCCCCAGAACGTTTAGAAATCAAGGCACCCTCAGACAAGCCCAGTAAAGAGTCACAATTTGAAGTCTCAAACTCTTTCTTTGCAGTGTTTTTTGCACAAGAAGAAAACAGGAAACTTCCCGGGGCAGTGCTGGCCCCAGTAAGGCTGTTTGCTATCCTGGAAAGTTCATTAGATGCCTGCTTATCAGATACATCCCCAGAAATAAAGTTTATGCCAAGGTTCTCTGGAATCTTTCCCCTCCGTTCTTCCTTATGTGCTTCAAATTGCATGTGGCCCTTTTTCACACAAGTCCTTTTTGGATTATCAGTGCTCTTTCTGGCTCGAGACTTAGCACAAGGCTTTTCCTTCTCATCTGCAGAATGTTCAGAGTCAAAAGCCAGAGATTTCAAGCAGCCATTAAGCAACAGGTCATGTTCTGATTCAGGATCATTTGTACAGTCCTCAAATGGCATATCCTCTTCACTGTCCAATTTGATCGAACTGGTAATACATTTTCGGTTCTTCGATCCTTTGGGAACATCATACTGTTCAGCAAGACCAACACTGGCTTCCCATTTACTCAAAATTTTCTGAGGAACCTTAAATTTAAAGGAGAAAAAGATTGTCACTAATCAAACACAGGGGAGGGGGAAATAGAGAGATGATCAATGCACATTTCGCAAATCTGCTTTTCAAGAAAACATAGGAACTAAACTCACAGGAATATAGAAAGTAGCACCCACAGCTCAACTAGTGAGGATTCCTCAACATTACATTACCACTAAGAACTATCATCAGAGGAAAGACTGATTTCATACATCCTCCATTCTCCCTTCCTTTATAAGGACAAAGGAGTGGACCATATCTTAAGACTACAATATTACATTACTAATCAACATCACATTACTAAACCAAAGAATAACTTAGACCCTTCCTACTTACCTCTCCACACTTTAAATAAGGACTTATTTTCTCCGTGACTTATGAAGGCCAAGCACTTGCTCAGCAGTATAAAAAGAGAAAGCAAAAGGCTAAAGAGGACAAATATAAAAAAAAAAAAACAAGTACAGAAGAGAGAATAGACCTATCCTAGGAGACTTGAAATTTAAACCTCAGGTTATCAATAGGCCCTTAGCTAATGAAGATTCTTCTACACATGTTACATACCATCTGGATTATAACCAGTCTCCAGAGCTTAATCATGTAGTCCACAGACACCAAAACACCTTGAGTATAACAAATTACATTCACTCTTTTCTTGATTCCTCACAGCATGAGAACATTGAGGCTCTGTGAAACATATCTAATTTTCCAGACTTATTTCCCTTCTGACTTCATACAATAGATATTAGTTAAGGCTCTAACTATCATTTAGTGTTCACAAATACTTTAATACTTGTGAAAGGGATGTTATGCTAAATATGTAAAAATTCAGGTCATTAGCCAAGTCGCCTCCTCTTATAAAACAATAAACTGACCATTTGAGTTTATTTTACATATGAACACACACCCATTAATTCTCATGACTGTGACCAGAGCAAATCAATTTTCCAGAACCTGAAAGCTCTAATGAAATTCTCAGAAAAGGGAGTTAGTTAGTCTACATAGCAAAGGCTTGACACAAAAACTGACACCTCTCCACCACCCAAAATAATATAAACAATGTAGTCATTATCTTCCTTCGCTCTAACAACAGGACATACTAATTTTTTAGAGCATCGACCTTATGACATATTAGATATTTATAATTATTTCTAATCCACACAACAGTTTTACAAGGAACAGATTAGTACACACTAGTTTTAGAGCTGAAGACACTGGTCCTCACAGAACTCAAATTAAAAATAGCAGAGACTGCATACTAACTCTAAATTATCTTAATTATGACTTGTATAAATAGTCTAGAAGTATTTATACACAGAGAAGTATAAAACACCAATCTAAGAGGAACTATTTCCCCTTCTAGAACTGACTATAAAGCAATATTCAAAGAAAAAAGTCAAAATTTTACTCGGCCAACTTTAACACAAAATATCAATAATACAAAACAAAAACAAAATGTTCTTTATTAAAACATAACCAGGTTTGAAACTGCAACCTTAAGCATTAACAATCATACACAAAACCAAAACAAAACAAAAATGTTTAAAGCTTTATCTTTCTCATTTTTAAGAGAAATAATTAATTCAGAGAGTGAAAAGTAGAATATTTCATTTTGATGATCATTTTCTTCTATATAAGATATAACCAAAGAAGATTGTCACATCTAAGTGACATGGCAAAAATGAGCTGAAATCATTTCTCAAAAAATTGAGTATAAATATTTGGAAGGCCAGCAAATATATCTTGCTTTCTACCTATTTTCTCACAAATATCCTACCACTAAAAGAAATTACTTATATTTCAAAATTAAAATACTTCTTCCTTGCCTTTCCCTTGCCTATCCCCAAGTAGATCACTTGAGAGGTTTTTGTCATTGTTGTTACCTTATGCCTATATCCTTTTTCTTTTTGCTTCCCTCTTCTTCTAAGGACAGGTAGCTCTTCAAATTGATGTCTGCCTTCGAACATGACAATTGCTTTTCCAGCCACCCAGGCTCTCTCAGAAGGGTCTCCAAAAGCCTCCACATAGTACTGTCGATAGGGCCTCCGGTTGGAAACTAGATAAAGAAAAGAACCAGTGTCAGTACTTTAAAAAGATAACTGTTCATAATCAAGATAACGGCCACACCACTGTTGCCAAAGAAGCCTGTTTACCAAATCAATCATTCAATCGACAAGCTAAAAAATCTGCAGAACAAGATATTCTCAGGTGGGTCAGATAGAAGGAAATTTTTAAATATTCAATTAATGTGGCAAGAAAACACTTAAGAGTTTATGAAAGAACTCAGTGGTTTGGTTTGGTGATAAGCTGTATATTCCAAACCAGTTAGAGGTTATTAGCTAATCACAGAACAAATTAATGTAGCAATCAACTAAAAGTTTCTTTACTCTCAGTCTACAAAGTCTTATACCCTCATTCCTGGAAAATACAAAGGGCATATAATAATAAGCTACAAAACCACAAATATTGTAACCAACAAGAACCACCACACAAACTCTAAAAACACTGCTAAAATATAAAAAAGAGAAATGCTTCAACACCATGCCATGTGTAACGCACTAACGTTTATGGAGTAGCTACTCTTGGCAAGGCTCTATACTAGGTGCACAGATTCTTCTAAACAACTAACACTAAGAAACAAGTAGTATGATTTCCATTTTATAGATACAGTAAGTCTAATGACTTCAGAGAGGACAAATTCAGAGTAAAACAGTGGCTTCGTAGAAAAGTAGAACTTGAAATTTCAAAATACAGAAAGTAAAAAAAGAAAAGGGAAATCCCAACGGCAATAAAAACAAAAAGAAATCCAGTTATTTTACAGTTTTCTTGGTTGTCCAAAGTTCTAAGCGTTACCAAAAATAAAAATACAAATCTCATCCAGAAAAGATTATCATCAAATTTATGTAGTTTATGTAGCACCCATATACTCAGCATTTTTCATACCAGTAAAAAAGTCACAAAAGAAATATAATCAGGGCCACGAAAGGTTTAATAATTTGTCTCTTTCTAGAGAAGGAAATCATCTTAAAGAAAGATTCATTTTAACACTCATCTAATTCCCTAACAAGAATCATATTGTTTCAAAAACACAAAAAAGAATCTAAAGAGCTTTTTAAAAATGAGAAAAGCTTACTTCCTTCAGAATGAAAAAAAAGAGAAAAGATTTATAAACTGAACTTCAGAACAAGTATAAAAAGTTAGGAATACTTTCAAAACTCCTATCTTCACAGTAAGTGGAAAAGAAGCCAAAATATCAAGTACATTTCAACAGAAGTTTCTTTATAATTGCTAATTTCAAATCTATAAAACCAAAGAAGAAAAAGTATCTATAAGCAGCTCTCACAAACTTTAGTTGAAATAGTTGTTTTTCTGTAAAAATATAGCTTAATAATAAAATTACAACCTGGCTAAACTTTATTTTAAGTCCATTTTACAAACTGTGGGAAAAAAATGAACTCTTCGGACTACCTACTAAATTATATCCTTCAATAGAAACCACCTATAATGGGGGATTAAAATTGGTAAGATATTTATGTACCTACATAGAGGTTTTTCTTAAAGTCCATTTGAGAAGTAAATAATTCTCCCATAAATAAGTAAATTCAACTAACATAGATTGAACACTTATGATATGCCAGATGTATAGAAAAGACAGAAAAGAACTCACTGCCTGGTGGGTAAGAGAAGTAGAAACAGATTATGATAAAAGTGTGGTAATTCTAATAAGAAACATCCACTTTCAAAAAATAGCACTAAGAAGTGGAAAACGTCAACTGAAAGACAAATGGGATACCTCAGCAGAAGTTTTAAAAATAAACTGCTTGGGAGGTAGATGGGGGGAGGGGGAATTTTAATCATTTCTTCAATTAAAAAAAAAAAGTAAACTGCTTATTAAGGAGAGAATTCCAGTATGAGGGCTCAGAACCCTCAAAGGCATGAATGATAAAACAAAGAAAGCTAGAACTACAAGTAGTTCAGAACACTAAATCATGAAGTAGAAGAAAAAGGAACTAAGCTGGTAAGCAGTGGCCAGACCTGAAACAGCCTGGATGCCATGTTAAAAGCTTGAACATTAGTAATGTTGGGAATAAAAGGCTCATCTGAACTGTGGAACCATAGGCTCAGTTTTACATCTTAGGAAGATAAATCTTCTTAATCTCTGAAACAGAGAAGAAACTCAGTAGACCAGAGATTACCAAAACAGTGTACACATGACATGACTAGAACCTAAACCAAAGCAGTAGAAAGGGGAATTAAAAGAACAAAATCTGCAAGATTTTTTTAAAAGACAAATCAAAAAGCAGTTTATAAAAGGAACAAATACAAAAGACAAAGTATAGAGAAAGAAACAATAAAAGTGTGGGAAAGCTGGAAGTCAGATGGTGATAAGTTAAACCAAATAGAGTTGAATGATAGGCCAGCCTTGAGAAAAGTTAGAGCAATGTGATTTACTCCCAGGTTGCTTTGTGAAGGGTACCCTAGAAGTACATAGAAAGGTCTAAAACAAGATTGACTGAAAGTCTGTTCAAGATGAAGGGTATTTCCAGGTCAAGATGAAGAGTATTTCCAGATCAAGATGACGTTAATCTCCACTAAAGCTACAGTAAAGAGATTTTCAAGACATAAATCCATTATGGACAGGGAGAACAAGAGAGGAAAGCTAAGTGGAAATTACAGTGTAGCTGTGCAAGTAAGCTATACAGTTTTAGAAGCTGGGAAGCACATGTCTAAGTATTATGGTAACTAATAGATCCAAGAAGGCCAAATCCTAAATCATCAAGGAGCAAAGCCAAGAACCAACTGTGTATATATCGTGCATCTTTCTAAAGGCCCAGGAACAGTGAATACCTGGTACTTCTGGAGTTTAAGAGAGAATAAAATAGAGGACTGGTTGAAAGCTGTCAAGCAGCACTGGATACCTAAATTTTCTCCTTCACTCCCAACCACCAGATCATTGCCTCGCCCCTTTTTCCAGAGAAGACCAGAGGTTTTTGTACTAGATGGAGTAAAACAGAAAGGTCTCTAGACTGAGGAACACCAAGCACAGTCAAGGAGTATAATTACCAAAAATAGAGAGAATGAGTGAAATGGATGCTAAAAACACCCAGTTGTCTTCCCTGCAATGTGCTCCCAGAACACAAGAAGCCAGATTCTTATCCTCTAGGTAGGAGACTAAAGAATTTTCTCTGAGGAATCTCACTAAGCCACGAGAAAAATGGAGAAGGTATTGACAAAGGATTGAGAGAGGGAGGGGATCACTCTACAAGGAAATTAAAGGTTGACAACCTCTAAACATTCAGAAGTGCCCATATGCTCGAGTCCTCACTCTTGAACACAGATCTGAGGAAAGCCTCAAACATAAAAATAGAGAACAAAGGAACAGTGAAGCAGTTTATAAAAGGAACAAATACAAAAGACAAAGTATAGAGAAAGAAACAATAAAAGTGTGGGAAAGCTGGAAGTCAGATGGTGATAAGTTAAACCAAATAGAGTTGAATGATAGGCCAGCCTTGAGAAAAGTTAGAGCAATGTGATTTACTCCCAGGTTGCTTTGTGAAGGGTACCCTAGAAGTACATAGAAAGGTCTAAAACAAGATTGACTGAAAGTCTGTTCAAGATGAAGGGTATTTCCAGGTCAAGATGAAGAGTATTTCCAGATCAAGATGACGTTAATCTCCACTAAAGCTACAGTAAAGAGATTTTCAAGACATAAATCCATTATGGACAGGGAGAACAAGAGAGGAAAGCTAAGTGGAAATTACAGTGTAGCTGTGCAAGTAAGCTATACAGTTTTAGAAGCTGGGAAGCACATGTCTAAGTATTATGGTAACTAATAGATCCAAGAATGCCAAATCCTAAATCATCAAGGAGCAAAGCCAAGAACCAACTGTGTATATGTCGTGCATCTTTCTAAAGGCCTAGGAACAGTGAATACCTGGTACTTCTGGAGTTTAAGAGAGAATAAAATAGAGGACTGGTTGAAAGCTGTCAAGTAGCACTGGATACCTAAATTTTCTCCTTCACTCCCAACCACCAGATCATTGCCTCGCCCCTTTTTCCAGAGAAGACCAGAGGTTTTTGTACTAGATGGAGTAAAACAGAAAGGTCTCTAGACTGAGGAACACCAAGCACAGTCAAGGAGTATAATTACCAAAAATAGAGAGAATGAGTGAAATGGATGCTAAAAACACCCAGTTGTCTTCCCTGCAATGTGCTCCCAGAACACAAGAAGCCAGATTCTTATCCTCTAGGTAGGAGACTAAAGAATTTTCTCTGAGGAATCTCACTAAGCCACGAGAAAAATGGAGAAGGTATTGACAAAGGATTGAGAGAGGGAGGGGATCACTCTACAAGGAAATTAAAGGTTGACAACCTCTAAACATTCAGAAGTGCCCATATGCTCGAGTCCTCACTCTTGAACACAGATCTGAGGAAAGCCTCAAACATAAAAATAGAGAACAAAGGAACAGTGAAGAAAAAAAAAGAAACCTAAAACAGACTCTGTACAAAGGAGAGCTCTTCTCATCAGCACTAACTGCATGATCTTTCCCAACTTTAAAAATCCTTCAGGACCCCATATATCTCTCTTGCTGTACTATCTTCACTTCTCTGCCTTTATCTCCATTTCCTCAAATCAGCCTAATCCAAATTCAGCTACAATTATACCATCAAAAAAAGGTTGCCAATGATCTCCACTTTCTTACACCTAATGGACACTATTCGACCTCTAGGCAACGTTCAACCAAATCAACCACACCTTCCTAAAAAGGCTCTAGTCACCAATATCACATTCTCCTGGTTTCTTCTTCCATTTCTATTTGATTCTTTCTCAACTCTTTTGCAAGCTCAGTCTCATACAGACCTCAAATGTTGGCTTCCTCAAAGCCACTTTTTTCCGACTACTTATGTAATGGTTAAGTTAAAAACTTGGGAGCCATCTTGAGATATAGAAACCGGGCGCTAGAAACCTTAGGACTTCACTCTCCCTCACTCCCCATTATCCATCCATTACCAAATCATGTAGATTTTTCACCGCTTTCATTTCATCATATTACCACAATGACCCTCTTAACTATCCTTTCTATCTGTGCCATTTTCTACATTGTAGTCAGCGAACTTTAAAAAACCACAGATTAGATCACATCACCCTCTGCTCATAGCGCATTAATGTTATCTCACTGTCCTCAGGAAAAAATACAAACTTTTAAATGAAATCTACAAGATGCTGCATAATTTGACTCATATCTACTCCTCCAGCCTCATACTGTGCCACTTTCCACCACTTTATGGGCTGCAGCCTTCTCAAAAGTGGAACAGGTAATATTTTCTGTGCCCAGAGCCATCTTCTCCTTTCTTTCCTAGTTAATTCCTGCTAATCCTCTCAGGTATCAGATCAAAGATAATTGTACTAGCAATACTGGCCTTGAATACCCCTGCACTAAAAGTCAAGGGTTAGGCAGCCCTGCTATATCACTGATTGTAAACCAATATTTTTCCTTGGACACAGGCCTCAGTTAATTATCTATTTGATTATTTGCTGGTGTTATGTCTCTTTAATTGAACTCTATACATGAGGGCAAGAAAGACCGATGTTTTCTTCATTACTGGATCCCAATACTTATCACAGACCTATACAATGTACTTATACTATTTGTCAATAAATAGTGTGAATCCAACTAGTATTCATAAAGAACACTACAATGAGTAAGAAACCAGCAGTCCCATATAGGGCTAGGAGGTACAGTGAAAGGACTAAAAGAATTTTCTAAATTTAAATGTCCAAACAGACCACAAAGGATATCACTTTTTAAAAATAGTGAGCTTTAAAGGCCTTTGGGCAACTCAACAGTCAATATTCAAAATGTAAAATCAAATTCAGCAATCTTATTTTTGGTAAATCATCCTACAGATGAATGGGCATATATATATAAAACACAAAGTTATTCTTATAGTGGTGTTTGTGTGAGCACACAAATACATGTATGTATGTATATAATTACACACATGTATATGTGTATGTATATATTTTGTCTTTACAACACAAGATGAGAAAGAATCTAAACATCTATCAACAGGGAAATGGTTATATAAAGTATAGCACATTTAAAAAGTGAAAAACTATGCAGCAATAAAAAAAATTTTCCTAAGAGACAGTTTTCAATGCACTAATATGGAAAAATCTCCAAGAAGTAAAAAAAGCAACTACAGGATGTACAATACACTACTTTTGTGTTAAAATAAAAGGGGTAGGGAGATGAGAATGTACATGTGGATTCACATAAGGAAACTCTAGAAAGAAACATTAATAATAATTCGTTAGTCTTTGAAAGGAGCACTAAAGAATGGGGCAAACCAGAGAAAAGGAGGTAATAAGTTGATTTTTTTAATCTTGTGTGTATATGACCCATTCAAAAACTAAAATCCATATAGTAAAACTATAGTAAAATCACAAGCCATCTTAAATAGAAAAAAGGGAGTTCAAGATCAAGTTTCAGCCCCTATCTTATAGCATTTTAAAGATAAGACATCTGAGATTTAAACAGAACAAGCAAATAAGAAACCAACTACAGCAACTAATATTCAAAATCAAGATTTTAGAATTCAAAACAATGTATAAGCATTTTTTAATACCTGCTTCAGCTTCAAAACTAACAAAAACAATAGAAACTTGAAGACTGATATAGAAAAATGTAAATATATTGAAAAATGACTCTGGACAATGTAAACCTTAGGTAATATGCTTAACATTTCCCTGGCATCTACAGATAAAATAATTGAGAATTTTTAAACTAGAGAGTAAAATAAAACAAACATTTAAAAAAATCCAAAAAGATAAATGCATGAATAACAACTTGTTCATGAAATGCCCAAAGGTAAAAAAGGATTATTGCTAAGGGCAACAAAAATTGAGTTATACTAAAGGCAACTGTAAGTTTATAATTCCAAACTGTATTTTATCATGTGGAATCAACTTCAAGTATTACCTTTCATTTTTGAGTGTGTGTTAATCAACGGATCAGAACAAATCCTGCAGGGCCACCATGGGCGTCTCTTGAATTTTGCCCAGATGAGATCTCCAACTTCATACTTCAGTGGTGTAGACTTTTTCTTGGTCTGACACTTTAGATAGACAAAACATGGGGCATCAATAAGAATCAAAAGCTTTTGAAACAGTATACCATCTTCCCACTAGCCCTTTAAGAAAGCAATAGCTAAAAAATTCTAGATGAAAACACTCCAGCTTAACAATTACAACTAAATTACTTTGTCTTAATTGTTCATAACATAGCTCTTTACACAGAAGTAGCTCTCAATTTATATTTGTTTTATATAAGTAATTATCTATATTCTAGGAAAATAAATAAGCTTTTTTGATTTATTAAGAGCTAAAAACTGAAGTAATAGATAAACAGAATCATCCCAAGGAAAAGGTATTTTTGCCTTAGTCCTTGGATCACACCACATTAGGGGGTTAAAAAGAGAAAATTATAAAGAGAAATTTTAACAATATCAAGAGACTGTGATCCCAGTACAATGTTATAGGTCAATTCTATCTCAATAAAACTAGGGCAAAAAAAAAAAAGAGAGAGAGAGAGATTGTGGTCCCTTCTGCAGGTGATATTCTACATCTTTCCTGAACAAACAGGCATCCTAGTAAATTAACAAAAATGGTTCAAATTAAATAACCCAGAAAGCTATAGGCTAGATTCTAGCAGTGTCAATACTGGGATATTTCCCAGCACACACAAGAGAGGCAGGCTGGCTGACTCCAGAACAGAGCACTGCACAACTGCAAGGGACACAGCTCATGCAGAATACAAAATGAATCAAGCTCCTTGAACTTGTCCAGTGCAGAGACCCCACCTGCATCCTTCTCCAAAAATATTATGCCTAATTGATTTGCAATCCAAATGCCTCCATCTCAGCTCTAAACCCATATCCATTCCTTTAACACCCCATACACAGTACAGATCTCCTGCCCTTGAGAGGAAGACAGCTTTGTATTTAGTAGAACTGAGCTTCTCAGCTGATAAGCCACACAAAGAACTGCAAGTGTGCTGAGATATTTCTGGGTAGCCAAAAGAAGAATCTAGGGTATCTGGAAAAGAACAACCTATTCCATTTACTCAAAGGAGATGTACAAATGTTATTAAGATTTTCTATAAATGGCAAGTCTTGAAAAAGACCTGGTGGGCTCCTTCCTCAATGTGCCCTCCTTAATGCCTAAAAAAGTACCCACCTGGCACAGAGTATTCAAAGAGAGTATGCTGAGTGAATTGACTGAAGTCATTCAAATAAAAATAATAACTAATGCCTGAGACTCAAGGATATCAAAGGATTAGGCTCAATTCAATGATTTATAAGTTATCATTCAACTTTTAAGATTGCATTCACATAGAAGTTAAATTAAATCTCGTAGAATACCCTTATGAAAAGTATTATGATTAGTTTTTCACGTATATAGAATTACTAGGTAATAAGACAGAAATGACATCTCATTATACAAATAAATTTTTAAAAAGTTTGAGGGGCCGTTTTTGTCTGTTATCGGTTTTTAAGTTATCAGAAAAATACATGACTTCAAAGCTAATTAGCTTTAGAACTTTAAAACCAAGATACCAAGACTGGATAGAAAAACAAACCTTTTATTTGCCTGTGCTAAAAACTACAATTTAAGTAGGTTTCCCATAAATGTGTGATATAATTTAATTTTTGATCACTTAATTTATTTTGCAATTATTGCTAAATATGAAATGTGCTTGTTTATTCAAGTCCTAAATGACTAAATATACTAGCATTTATTTGATGTATGCTATGTGCCAGGCACTGTTCCTCCTTTAATCCTCTTAAAGTAGATACTATACTACTCCTATTTTACTATATGCTTATAATTATGTAGTTTACTTAGGTGGCAGAGCCACCTGGGAAGTCCAACACTCGATCTCAAACTCTCAACCACTACTTTATTATCTAATAACAATAAAACCCCATGATTATTACGTGCTTTATGACAAATTTAGTCATCATCAACCTATGACATGTTGTTGGTTCTATCTTCCCCTCATATTACTACTACTACGTGATTATATCATCAGGAAGGATAGCCATAAAACACATGCCTTCAATAAATAGCAGAGAAAGAACATTTCTGGTATCAGGTAAAGCCAAAATCACACAACCAGACAAAGCATTAATGAATTGTCTTCTGACTCTATCACAAATTATGTCACCTTAAACAAGCCAGTTAATTCAGCTCACATTTCCTAAGCCATAAAATCATGAAACACCTACCACGGACCATCAAAATAACTATTAATTCTACTAATATTTTCACCCAGAAGAAATAATCTAAACAAGTGAAAGATTGCAGAAAAATATTTAAGGCAAATATTTATGAAAACAAAAAGTTAACATCCAAGAAGACCTGTTAAATCATGCTGACAACTCAATAAAATATGCAAAGTGCAGACAGTTATGGGATACACACATACAACACACCAACCATTTAGAAACTATGCTGAAACTGTAATCATGATTTTAAAAAGTCATTAAGAAATACAAATAAAAGTTTCATGAAATTAATGGTATCATGGGTAACAATTTTCACAAACCTGAAATAATTCTCTCATCACTTTCTTGATTCATTTACCATGATGACCATATAAAACAATATATGCAAACCCATTGGGGAAAAATGTCTACACAAATATATATTATTAATACTATTATTAATGCACAACATCCAAATCCAATTGACCCTTATATTTAAAAAGTTAGACACGGGCAAGAATTCCAGACCAAAGAAAGGGTTCCAAACACAAAAACAGAAAAAAATAAGGGGAGAAAAAAAGAATAAGACTTCTCTTCAGAGGAGCTTCAAAATTTCACCTTGGAAAGAAAGACTTGCAAATAACTCGTTAAACCTATAATTCAACTGCACATTAACTTTCTAAACACTTAACATACAAAGCTTAACAAGAGACACAGATGAATTTCTGATCTCAAGACACTTGGGGAATAACAAGGAAGAATAAAGTGAAGAAATGTCATCTGAGCTTAAAATAGCAGGATAGCATACTTCAGAACAGCTCTGCCTAATATCTATGTCCAGCTGGAAGAAATGCACTAGAGCTAAGCCTTTTGATATATACTATCGGGGCAGACTGTGCTCGCCCATAAGATATATCCCCCATACCTGTCAATGTAACTTTATGTGGAAATAGGGTCTTTACAGATGATGAAGATAAGGTCAATTAGGGCGGTCCCTAATCCGATATAACTGTGTCCTTATAAAAAGGAAACTTGGACACAGAGACAGACATGAATAGAGGGAAGATGATGTGAAGACAGAGAGAGGGAGATCGTCAACTACAGAGAAGGAAATGCTGAGGCCACCAGATGCTAGGAGAGGCATGGAACGGATTCTCACAGCCCTCCGAAAAAAAAAAAAAAAAACCCCTGCAGACAACTTGACATTGTACTTCTAGCCTATAGAAAGGTAAGACAATTAAAATTCTGTTGTTTAAGCCACCCACTTTGTGGTACTTTATTATGGTATTCAAAAAAAAAAAACAGTACACAAACATTACCTTGCTTTAATTCTCACATTAGGAAATAGCACTATCTCCATTCTATGAATAAAGAAACTCAGTATCAAAACTGTTAAATCACAATTGGAAAGACTGAGATTTAAACCCACATTTGATTCATTCTAAAGACCGTGTGTGTGTGGTGGTTGTGTTTTTTTTTTTTGCACTACAATGCCCTATTTCCCTCTCATTTTAACTACAAGAAAATATGGCCAGAGTTTGTTTTGTGTCTAAATCAAACCTAAAAAACCAACTTGATTCAAAAATCTCCATTTCTTTTTCCTTACTGACAGTAACATGTCACATTAAACTCTCCTGTAAGAGCTTGTCACTGCCATTTTTAAAGGACTTATACATTTCTGCAATCACAAGAAGTGGCTCTTGAGCCAAAAGCTATGGTCAAAAGACATGTGAGATTTGAGTATTTTCACTAACTAAATTTCCATCAAGAGGTTCAAATCAGACCTATATTGCATTTCTAAGATAGAAAAACTCACATAGTCCAGGAATATTTCCAGATTTGGAGACAAAATTTAAGTTGTGTTCTATTTTCATGCTATTTAACGTTACCACAAAGTGGATAATCCTTGAATATTAATACCCTCCTCCCAGGCATATCCAAAACTTACAGTTGAGTTAACTACTCAAAATCTGCTAAATCATAGTACAATGGTATCTTTTTTCCTTTATTTTAAAAATTTTATTGTGGTAAGAACACTTAACTGGGCTCTATCCTCTTAGAATTTTAAGGCTATATTACTGTTGTCTATTGGTACAACAAACAATAGCTTCTAAAATAACTTAATAACGTATTGTACTTGAGGACTTGTACTTGAGGTAAAGATCCAGAGGAGTGGGGAAAAGCACTAGTACTTTACTTGACAACAATCAAAGAACTTACCGCAACTCTAGGACTCAGTTTTTGTTCTGGTTACTAAGAATTCCCATAAAATTATACTTGCATAAGATGACAATGACAATATACAAGACAAAATCTATCTCTTTAGATGATTTAAATGATATCTAAAATCTATTTTCCACAGGTGAAACTGCCCATTTTTGAGAATAAGATCAACTATAAATATATCATCTTCTGGCTTATAAACTTAACATTTGTTAACACTGCCACTGCTTCTATCAATTCCAGAAAGAAAAAAAATTAAATAACTTGGTTTAAAATGCCAAATTTTAAATGTTATACTAAAGAATTATACTATATAGTTATTTGAATTTTACTTTAAATTTCAACTTTTTCCTACCTGGTCAAAGTGACTCCTTTATTCCTGTGATAAAAATAAGTAGTTCCTCTATTTTACAACTAGGACATCTAACATGAGAGATTACATAAAATTCACACTGTTGTTCATTTACTATAAAAAATGTTTGCATAAATAAAATAATACAGATAATCTTACATTTGTATAAGTCATATGGTTTACAAAGCACTTTGATTATAATCTGATGATAGCAAAGCTTCTCCTCAAGTCTACACAGCACCAAGTCCATAGCAGAACCTCAGAGAGTATGGTT